TATATATTGGTTATTTTGTTTGAATTAATAAATGTAGATATCTTATAATTAACTATAACAAAAAAAATATAAATATACCAAAAAAAAACTACCTTTCAGATTGGGTCGGAGTAGTTTCAAGTTGGAGTTTTTAAATTATTTTAAAACAAAAAGCAAAAAAAATACCTATAGTAAAAGAGCGAAAAAAGAGAAGAAAAAATAGCCATTCAAATCGGGGAGTAGTTTCAAGTTGGAGTTTTAAAATAATTTTAAAATAAAAAACGAAATTGAAAAAACTGATAAATTACCAATTCAAATTGGGGAGTAGTTTCAAGTTGGAGTTTTAAAATCTATATCTATATATTATTAAAAGGAGAGGACAAAGCCCTCTCCTTAAGCCAGCGGAAGCCTAAAAAATAGCCACATGGCATAATTAGTTACTAATTAGTTATTTAGTTAATAATTAGTTATTGATTATTATTTTTGAACTTAAATATATATAAAAACAAAAAAAAATACCATATATATATATATATATATATATATATATATATATATATATTAATTGGTTACTTTATTTGAATTAATAAATATAGATATCTTATAATAAAAAAATGAAATATAAATATATAAAAATAACTACCCATTCAAATTGGGTGAGAGTAGTTTCAAGTTGGAGTTTTAAANATCTACGAATACTACACATAATAGTCTGAACAAAAAAATACACATCTGTTTCGGAAATAGATAAAACAGAAAAGAAAAACAGGATAGAAAGGGATGGCAAGGCCTCCGGACACCTGCAGGACTACCTCGGGTCTCCACTGGACTGAAGGCAGCAACCTCGAACTACGGTCTGCCACTAGCTCCGTAATCAAAACAAAAAGTGCAGAGTGTAGCATTTCTAAACCCGACCCGGTCCCGCTTGATCAAAACTCGAAGTTCGAACTAAAACCCGATTACCCATTCACCCACGAACTCAAATATGCAATTTGTTTTAAAATCCGACCACAAATTGAGGCCCACATCCCCAAAATTCGAAAATCCTAATTTCTACCCAAGAACACCTAATTCCCCATGAAAAATCCTTAGATTTTGGAGTGAAATCATGTAAAGATGAATTAGATTGAAAGAGTTGAGTTAGAATCACTTACCTATGATTTGGAGAAGTTTGGGTCTTTGAAAAATCGCCTAGGGAGGTTTAGGGTTCGAGATATTTGAAAAATCGGTGAAAATTCCGTCTAAGTTAAGATTTACACAGTCGCAGATATCACATTTACGATAACAGGTTCGCAAATGCGACCAAAGCATCGCAAATGCGAAGCTTGGCCTAAGTTGTTGCCTTCGCAAATGCGAACTATTGTTCGCAAATGCGGTGACTGATGGAGTCGCAATTGCGAAGGACCCCCTCCCTGCCCTCTGATCGCAAATATGATGGCTCTTTGCAAATGCGATGCTCGCATTTGCGAGCTAGACTTCGCAAATGCGAAGTCTGCAGACCTGCAATCACACCAACAATTTCCTTAAATCTCAAAACACTCTGTGGCCTATCCAAAACTCACCCGAGCCCTCGGGGTTCCAAACCAAATATGCACACAAGTCTAAAATATCATACGAACTTGTTCGTGTGATCAAATCCCCAAAATAACATCTTAAACAACGAATTTAACACCAAAACTCATGAATTCCACAAGATAGTTCACATTTATATTTTCTCAACCAAGGGTCCGATTTATACCAAATCAATTCTGATTCTTATCAAATTTAACAGATACAACATAAATATTATATTAAATTTGTACCGGGCTCCGAAGCCAAAATACGGGCCCGATACCATCAAGATTATACACCATTTCATTTTCAAAAGTCCTTATATTTTCTAGCAAATAATTTTCTTTAAAAAATTTTTTCTCGGGCTAGGGACCTCAGAACTCAATTTCGGGCATACAGCCAAGTTCCATATTTTACTACGGGACCGTCAAATTACGGGTCCTGGTCCATTTATCAAAAATATTAACCGAAGTCAACTAAAATCATATTTTTAAGCCAAAATCATTATTTCTTAAAACTTTTCACAAAAAAAACTTTCCGGTATCGCACCCGGACTGCGCACACAAATCGATGAGAGATACAAGGAGGTTTTCAAGGGCCCAGAACATAAAAATGGACTCTAAAACAAAAGATGACCTTTTGGTCATCACAATTACCAACTCAAATCTATATATTATTAAAAGGAGAGGAAAAAACTCTCTCCTTAGGCCAAGTGGCAGCCTTAAAAAAGCCACATGGTATAATTAGTTACTAATTAGTTATCTAGTTAATAATTAGTTATTGGTTATTATTTTTGAATTTAAATATATATATATATATATATATATATATATATATATATAAAAATATATATATATATATATANAACAAAAAATCTATTTATATATATAATATAATATAATATAATATAATATAATATAATATAATATAATATAATATAATATAATATATGTATAATATATAATATATATAATAGGAGAGTCAAAGAAATCTATATCTATATATATATAATAGGAGAGGCAAAGAAATGTTATAATGACAAGTGTCATAATTTCTATTAACAATATAATTATACTAAATATTGGATAATATAATAAATAAAAATATATAACGAAAAAATTATTTGATGACTATATAAGTCCCTTTAATTTAATGGAGATTTTATTTATTAAAATTTAGACAATATCTATTCTATTTATATAGAATAGGATAATCAAATGATTGTGATAATTTCAAATGTAACATCGAAAAATTAACAGAGTAACAAATATTTTTTTAATATTGACCGCGCAACGCGCGGGTACGAGTACTATTATTATTAAAAGGAGAGGAAAAAACCCTCTCCTTAAGCCAAGTGGCAACATAAAAAAATGCCACATGGCATAGTTGGTTATTTAGTTTATAATTAGTTATTGGTTATTATTTTTTAATTTAAATATATATATATATATATATATATATATATATATATAAAATGATAAAAAAAACTATTTGAATTTAAATATATATAAAAAATGATTAAAAAAATATATATATATATATATATATATATTAATTGGTTACTTTATTTGAATTAATAAGCATAGATATCTTAATGTTAATTATAATAAAAAAACAAAAATATAAATATATAAAAAAAAAAAAAAATAACTACCCATTCAAATTGGGTGGGAGTAGTTTCAAGTTGGAGTTTTTAAATTATTTTAAAATAAAAAAAAAAGAGAAGAAAAACTACCCATTCAAATCGAGGAGTAGTTTCAAGTTGGAGTTTTAAAATAATTTTAAAATAAAAAACGAAATTAAAAAAATAATAAATTACCAATTCAAATTGGGAGTAGTTTCAAGTTGGAGTATTAAATTATTTTAAAATAAAAAAACGAAAATAAAAAAACTTTAAGAGAAAAATATTAAATAAAGTAATATGCTAATAAAGCTTTCTATTAACAATGTAATAATATTAAATATTGGATGATATAATAAAAAAAATACATAACAAAAAAGTTATTCGATGCGTTGCCTATATAAGTCCCGTTAGTTTAACAGAGATTTTATTCATTAAAATTTAGATAATATTATTAAGAACAACTGAATAAAAATTGAAATAAAAAATTATTTCAACAGTAATAAATCATATATCTTCTCATATATTACAAAAAGAAAGTGAATACTAAACATTGCTAATATAATAAAAAAATATAGAACAAAAAAGTTATTCACTGACTATATAAGTACCTTTGATTTAATAGATATTTCATTATTGGGTATATCGTATTGATAAAAAAAAATGACAATTGAATTTTATTAAAGCAATACGATCTAATAGGATCAAACAAGCCCGATCATAATTTAATTTAATAAATATTTTCTTAATATTGACCACGCATCGCGCGGGTGCGACTACTAGTAGATTATTAACTGCACAAATTATATACTTCTTTATTAGCTTATGCGATTCTTTTTTTTAGCTTGTCTCAAAGGAATGATATTTTTTATATTTAAATTTAATTTAATTTTAAACTTTACATTTAATATTTATGAAATAATTTACAGTCACAAAAATGCCCATAAC